AACGCTAACAGACTACCTATTGTTTAAAAGGCCCTCTGGTGGCGCAAGAAGACGGATTTTATAAAATAAAAAGCAGTTGAAACTGCATTTTTATGAATAAAAAGTTGACAAACTATTTATCGTTTTATAACGAGTAAAATTTTTTCTTCGCGTTCGCTGTTTTTAAGTAATGCATAAACCTTCGAGGCGCGAGGTCCTTCGGACCGCGAGGCATAGGCGGTGGCCCACGTTGCCCATACTCCGCCCTTGGTCATAGAAATGATGTAATTTGAATATAAATTATTTATAAATACGTATGTCAACTTATATTTTTATTACGACGCAAAATATATTAAATAAATAAATTAATTAAGAGTTTACGGCCACTGTGCCGGGTGAGACGTTGTTGAAACAAAAAAGTTGTGCATTCCATCACGTACATAAACAATAACGTAATTCGCCAAGTGCAAATCAGCAAATTCATAAAATTTTTGTTTATTTTGAACAATCCGGATAATCGAAAATCCGGATAATAGAGATCCGGATAATCGAGGTTCTACTGTATTTGCATTCTGGTTTTAAGTTTGTAGATCGTACTGAAGAGCTTTCGAAAGGAATCTAATGCTAAATAATGACAAATAAAATGTTCTAATTCGTGTTGTTTTGCCAATTTTTTCACTAGAATAATTTATAGAAATCAGTCTAGTGTCTAAATCTTATAACATTTAAACTATCGGTTTTATTTTTTTATTCGAAATTAAATCGATATGGATTGTCAGGAGCATTGGAGCATAAAACGTGTAAGATTAAGACAGTTTATCAGAATAATTCGTGAAGACACTATTTAAATGAGTTGCGTAAATTTCCCAGCAAAGACATTTAAATTTGGATATGCCGCCATCTGTTAGGATATTCTATTAAAAAACTTTATGTACTACTAATTATTATAAAATGGCAAAAAGCTTAATTTTTAGGTTATAGATCAGTTTTATTTTTTAAATGCTAATGAATAATGTAAATGCTAAGCGGGAATTTGTTTCCAAAAGATTTTTTTGAATAAAATGTCCTAACAGATGGCGACACACAATTTTATAATTTGGCCGGGAAAGTAAAGCAACTCGTTGCGAGATTTATAAAATTGTCAATACAGTATTAATTAATTATTATGTTAATATTAAAAAGAAATTTTTCGCTTCAATATGTCCTGTTAAAATATACATAACAATATAGCATATGTTGCCTATATATTAGTAATTCAAACACAAATTATTATTCAGGCACTTGGCAATTTTTATCATCAAAGTTTATTTAGTTGATACGTGTTGATATTATTTACACACGTTTCGGGCATTTATTGCTCCTCCTCAGCCAACTAAAAACAAAAGTTCATAAGTTACAACACTATAAAATTATAAACAAAAAACATATTAGGTATTGTTTCTTTAAAAACATACCTTTTTAATTTACAGGTTATTAAAACCACAAATTTCCATCACCTATGTTTACTTGTTAATATGGAATTACAAAAACTTTTTGGCCCTTAACACTCGTTTTTCTAAGAAACATACGGTTTCGTATTATCTAAAATATTTTAAAAACCTTTTTATATGAAATTTCTCTTATACATTTACATGATAACAATACAATAAATTACGTACCTAATTATCTGTTTTTCACTGTTATAAAATTTAAACAATTTCAAACTTTTTCTTATACATTTACAATTAATTTTACAACAATACTAAAATTAACATCTTTATCTTTCATCAAAATCATGCAATTCCCTCTTTTTACAAACTCATTGGGATGACCTCTCCTCCCCCTTTTTTCGTTCCCCCAGTTAAGCGTACCACTAATTACTATAGTCCATTTTAATACTTAGATTTTTGTTTATGCATTTTTTGCGTTTAATAATTTCCACGCTTTCTTTAAACTTTCTACTGTATGTTTCTTTTTCTTTGTTGAGTATTTGTATATCTATTGTACAATCATTCATGGTGCAATGATCATGGAAAACAGAATTTAGTTTATTGTATTTCAGATCCGCTATATGTTCTTTTAATCTAGTTTTTAACTTTCTTTTTGTTTCTCCTATATAATATTTATTATTGCTACAAGTCCAATGAATTTTATATACGACATTCTTAGTTCCTGTTAGTTGTTGTTTTTTCTCATTTTCGAACTGTTTTAATCTTGTATACATTTTTTTTGGTATGACGGTGCTAACCTAAAGTGCATATTGCTTATTTCATTATCAATTTGTTCGTGTAATCCTTTAATATATGGAAATCCAATATACTTAATGCCATTTGTTTTTTTATCTTGTGGTGTTTTAGGATTATTTATCTTAAGTTCCCATTTTTTTTTTTATTAGTCTTTGTGGGTAGCCTGCCAGGAGAAACTTCTTTTTTAATTCGGCTAAGTCTGCAGATATATGTATTTCTTGACTTGTCCTGTTTTTTTTTTTATCTTAGAATATTCCATTTTAAATACGTTATATTTGACGTGAAGTGGTACGTTAGACTGGTATCTTATTGTTATTTGACTCGATCCAGGCTTTCTAAATGTTCTAAATTCTAAACTTTGTTTTAATCTTCTTATCGTAATGTCTAAATAGTTGATTTCTTTTCTGGTTATGTCTTCTATTTCTGTTTTAAATTTTATCTCTTCTTGTATATTATTAATTTGTTTATTGATTTCTTCTATCTTTATTTCTGTTTCATTATATATTATACCAAAGTTAGCCGAATTAATAATGATAGATATAGATAACAAAATCAGTAACATAAGAAACGTAAAATTTTATAAAAGATACGTGGATGATATTCTAATAATATATAAATTGCCAAAACAACACGAATTAGAACATTTTATTTGTCATTATTTAGCATTAGATTCCTTTCGAAAGCTCTTCAGTACGGTCTACGCAGTTTAAAACCAGAACGCAAATATAGAAAAATTAAAAAACACACAAACACAGATTCAATCAATTAATGTAATTTTATTAAATGTATAAAATAAATAATAATTACACAGTATACAGGCCTACTATAGGCTAATAAACATCGTTAATAAATAAATTTTCATAGTAAACGAGGAAGCTTATTCGTTGGGGACCTCTTCCGTTTTCTCCGTCTCCCTCACTGCAGGGGCCCTCTGCACGGTTATAGTGTGGCGGTACGCCATGTTTTTGTAAATAGGGGTAGATATAAATTTTATTTCTCCTAAATTCCTTTGTCTTTAACGTGTTTCTAGAACTTTCTAACCTATTCCTTTTCTGTGGGTGGGGGACGACCTTTGTCCAAGGACAAAGGGGACATTAAGAAGCCCTGAGGCCATCAGGAGAACGAACAAGACACTTTTGGGTCAGCGTCCGAGGTGTGCAGACGTAGGAAAGAGCAAGCTAGAGGTTTGTCGCCTAGTGGGACAAACGGAGAAGGCTTGGAAGTCGTCTGCGAACGGACGAAAATTAGAAAGACATCCAGCCATAAGACCTCAAGAAAAAACGCTCCCGAATTCTCAAGAGACGGAATCAAGAGGAAGGAAATTGAGTTAATTCAAGTACCAATATAGAGAAGATCGGAGACTCCCAAGTTTACCCGGGTACCCCCACAAAATCTGTCCTTTATACTTATCTCTTCTCTTCATATCTCTTAATTTCTTTACCCTTCTTCCTTAGCATATAAGCTAGATTAAGGTAGATTTAAGTAGTCGTAGTATCTTAAACCATAATCTTTTTATTGTCGCGAGCACGTGTTCTATTTGTGAAAATATAGAATTTTGTCGGACGGATTCGAACTTGTGCACGTACTATAGTTTGGGATCAAGTGTGTTTAGTGTAAACGAACCAGGTGTACGAAGGACTAAGTAGCTGTAGTTGAATAAATATCCTGTTTGATTTTATGGTTACTTCTTTGTCATCCTTCCTTTGTCCTCCACACCACCACAATGGCGTCCGCGACAGGATCCCAACTATAGTGTGGGTGCA